ACTGCCAGCTATACCCAGCCTGGCACCGAGCACACTGCCAGCTATACCCAGCCTGGCACCGAGCACACTGCCAGCTATACCCAGCCCGGCACCGGGCACACTGCCAGCTATACCCAGGTAGGGGCACTGCCAGCTATACCCAGCCTGGCACCGAGCACACTGCCAGCTATACCCAGCCTGGCACCGAGCACACTGCCAGCTATACCCAGGTAGGGGGCACACTGCCAGCTATACCCAGCCTGGCACCGAGCACACTGCCAGCTATACCCAGCCCGGCACCGAGCACACTGCCAGCTATACCCAGCCCGGCACCGGGCACACTGCCAGCTATACCCAGCCCGGCACCGGGCACACTGCCACCTTTACCCAGCCTGGCACAGAGCACACTGCCAGCTATACCCAGGTAGGGCGGCACACTGCCAGCTATACCCAGCCTAGCACCAGGCACACTGCCAGCTTCACCCAGGTAGGGACACACTGCCAGCTATACCCAGCCTGGCACCGAGCACACTGCCAGCTTCACCCAGCCCGGCACCGAGCACACTGCCAGCTATACCCAGCCTGGCACTGAGCACACTGCCAGCTTCACCCAGGTAGGGGGGCACACTGCCAGCTATACCCAGCCTGGCACCGGACACACTGCCAGCTTCACCCAGGTAGGGGGGCACACTGCCAGCTATACCCAGACTGGCACCGAGCACACTGCCAGCTTCACCCAGGTAGGGGGGCACACTGCCAGCTATACCCAGCCTGGCACCGAGCACACTGCCAGCTATACCCAGCCCGGCACCGGGCACACTGCCAGCTATACCCAGCCCGGCACCGGGCACTCTGCCACCTTTACCCAGCCTGGCACAGAGCACACTGCCAGCTATACCCAGGTAGGGGGGCACACTGCCAGCTATACCCAGCCTTGCACCGAGCACACTGCCAGCTTCGCCCGGCACCGAGCACACTGCCAGCTTCGCCCGGCACCGAGCACACTGCCAGCTATACCCAGCCCGGCACCTAGCACACTGCCTGGTATACCCAGGTAGGGGGGCACACTGCCAGCTTCACCCAGCCCGGCACCGAGCACACTGCCAGCTATACCCAGCCTGGCACCGAGCACACTGCCAGCTTCACCCAGGTAGGGGGGTACACTGCCAGCTTCACCCAGCCTGGCACCGAGCACACTGCCAGCTATACCCAGCCTGGCACCGAGCACACTGCCAGCTTCACCCAGCCTGGCACCGAGCACACTGCCAGCTATACCCAGCCTGGCACCGGACACACTGCCAGCTTCACCCAGGTAGGGGGGCACACTGCCAGCTATACCCAGCCTGGCACCGGACACACTGCCAGCTTCACCCAGGTAGGGGCACCGAGCACACTGCCAGCTTCACCCAGGTAGGGGCACCGAGCACACTGGCACTGGCACTGGGCACACTTCCAGCTATTCCCAGGTAGGGGGGCACACTGCCAGCTATACCCAGCCTGGCACAGAGCACACTGCCAGCTATACCCAGGTAGGGGGGCACACTGCCAGCTATACCCAGCCTGGCACCGAGCACACTGCCAGCTATACCCAGCCCGGCACCGGGCACACTGCCAGCTTCACCCAGGTAGGGCGGCACACTGCCAGCTATACCCAGCCCGGCACCGAGCACACTGCCGGCTATACCCAGCCTGGCACCGAGCACACTGCCTGCTTCACCCAGGTAGGGGGGCACACTGCCAGCTATACCCAGCCCGGCACCGAGCACACTGCCAGCTATACCCAGCCCGGCACCAGGCACACTGCCAGCTTCACCCAGGTAAGGGCACACTGCCAGCTTCACCCAGCCCGGCACCGGGCACACTGCCAGCTTCACCCAGGTAGGGGGCACACTGCCAGTTTCACCCAGGTAGGGGCACACTGCCAGCTTTACCCAGCCCAGGAGTCAGGTAGGGGCAGCGGACCAGCTTTACTCTGCCCAGGAGCCAGATAGGGGGCACAGTGCCAGCTTTACCCATCTATACCCAGCACCGAGCACACTTCAATCTATACCCAGGTAGGGGCGCACTGCCATCTATACCCAGCCCAGCACACTGACAGCTTCACCCAGCCCAGCATCAAGCACACTGACAGCTTTACCCAGCTCATGAGCCTAGTGCCAGCTTTACCCAGCCCAGGAGCCAGGTGGGAGGCTAGTGCCAGCTTTACCCTGCACAGGAGCCAGGTAGTGGCACAGTATCAGCTTTAACCAGCCCAGGAGCCGAGCCAGGTAGGGGGCACAGTGCCAGCTGTACCAAGCCCAGGAGCCAGGTCGGAGCCTTGTGCCACCCTTACCTAGGCCAGGAGCCAGGTAAGGGAACACAGTGCCAGCTTTACGATACCTAGGAGCCTAGTTCCAGCTTTACCAAGCTCATGAGCCAGATAGGGGCACAGTGCCAGCTTTACCCAGCCCAGGATCCAGGTTGGAACCTAGTGGCAGCTTTACTCGGCCAAGGAGCCAGGTAGGGGCACAGTGCTAGCTTTACCCAGCCCAGGACCCAGCTAGCTTTACCCACAGTGCCAGCATTACCCAGTCCGGGAGCCAAGTAGGGGGAACAGTGCTAACTTTACCTAGCACAGGAGACAGGTAGGAGCACAGTGCCAGCTTTACCCAGCCTAGGAGCCATGTAGGGGCACACTATAAAGGGTACATTGCAGGGGTAAGGTATAGGTGTAGTGCCTGCTTCAGTCTTTCTCAAGGGCAAGCTAGGGCTCTAATAGCAGTAAAATGCCCACAGTAGCAACATAGAGGTATAATTTTAGTATCCCCCGTAGAAGCTAGTTAGGGACACAGTTCCAGCTTTACCATCCCAGAAGCCAATTGATATTAAGTAGTTATTATGCCAGCTTTACCAATCCTGAAAACAAGGTTAATGTATAATGCCAATCTGCCCACCAGGAGAAGGTGCCAGCGTTACTGTCCCAGGAGTAAATTAGAAGTTTAATGCCACTTATAAGCACCCCATTCGCTATGTAGAGACACAGCGCCAGCGTCACCCTCCCCAGAGGTTTAGAACATCTGAATTCTTTAAATAACAAGCCGGGGTGCCCGGTATCTGCTCTGTATTGTTAGAATTAAGAGCACAGATTATCACCCTCATAGACGGCAAATTTCAGGCTACATTTCCTGTCAATTTAAAACAGCGCAATTTTCCTTTTGGCAAAACCTTTTTTTTCTTTTTCCCCCCCCTGTTTCGATTTGTGTTATATGCACTTATTTCATATTATCATGCAGTGTGATCTATACATCGGTGGAGCAGATAGAAAATATATTTCCCAAATAAAAGCTGCTTCTTACTTGTAATTCAGGGCATGACATTAGCTGGATTGTATAATCGGCCTGGGTCTCTTGGATCTGATATGTGGTTTAACAACCGGGAAAGATCTTATGCGTTTAAATCCCCTGTATGTGCTCATGCACATATTATGCCCATATTATTCTATCTGTCACCTCTTGCTTGGTTTAGAATTAAGGGGTTACCCATACACCGGCATTGATTGATTGAAAATTCACTTATTCTTCAAGGTTTTAAGGGAACCTTGCAAGAATCCTATCCACTGCAGCCTGCCGTAGTGGTTATGGTGTCAGCAGTGCCCAGACGCCATCCAATAGTAAACTGTCCAACCATTTTAGCATGGTTTGGCAAGTTACCTGGGCGCCCACGCCACATCTGATCTTCTGCAGGAGAAGCTGGATGTGTTTCTGTTCAGCTTGCACGGGTGATCTAGGACTGCCCTGATAGGCTGCAGAGCTCAGCTGATGCCCTCAGCCAAATCTGCAAAGACTCTCAGTACAGCATGAATCAAAAAGGGTTATATAATAATTTTTTGTGCATTGTAAGGTTTGACAATTGCAAAGAATTCCTGTTTTGCAATAAGAAGTGTGTGTGTGTACGCCCCTTCGTTTAAGAGGAAATACCATCATCTAGCAGGCACCTCCTTTTTGCGTTACTTGACTGCATGCTAATTGCCCTTGTTGCACCATTCAATCACCTGTTCCATTTCTCCAGGTACCTTGTTGAATGTTCTTAATAAGCGGGTTATGTGTGCAGAGATTATTAAATCCATCTCCCAGGAATTTGCAATGTCACGCTGTGCAGAATAGCTCTCCAACGAAATCTCGCCAATCGTGCCATGAGTTAATTTTTCAGAATATTGTTTACAAGCTGTGAGCTTGTTCTGAGCAGGGTTCTCCCCACATTCTGTTCCTAGATATAGACTGGTCCTATTACAGATACTTGTTCGTTAGCCCACTTATTGTACAGCTCTACAGAACATGTTGGTGCTTTATAAATTACAATAACAAGCAGTGGGCAGAACAGTCTTATACATCAGAAACATAGCACACGGCTGAACAAGGTTATACATATCAGAAAAATTGCATTCTGCCGAACAATATTATATAGCTTAACCACCCCTCCTGCAGAACTATATTATATACCTTAACCACCCCTCCTGCAGAACAATATTATATAGCTTAACCACCCCTCCTGCAGAATAGTATTATTTAGCTTAACCAGCCCTCCTGCAGAACAATATTATACAGCTTAACCGCCCTTTCTGCAGAATAATGTTATATAGCTTAACCAGCCCTCCTGCAGAATAATATTATATAGCTTAACCACTCCATTCTGCAGGGCAGTTTAATGCAATTTTACCGCAGCATTCTGTAGCAATGTGTTGCGCAGCTCTGCTACAAATATGCAGCTTCATCGTAACATTCTCCATCACATATACAGCTTCAACATGTATACAGCTTTCACATGGCATTCTGCAGCACGATGTTTTATTCATGTTATACAGTGTTATAGAGCACAGCCGTGGCATTCTCTCAGCCGTGGCATTCTCTTCATGTAATAGAGCTCAGTCGTGGCATTCCTCTAGTCATGTTGTAGAGCTCAGCTGTGGCTTTCTATTCATGTTATAGAGCTCAGCTGTGGCATTCCTCCATTCATGTCATAGAGCTCAGCCGTGGCATTCCTCCATTGATGTCAAAGAGCTCAGGCGTGGCATTCCTCTATTCATGTTATAGAGCTCAGCCGTGGCATTCCTCTATTCATGTTATAGAGCTCAGCCGTGGCATTCCTCTATTCATGTTATAGAGCTCAGCTGTGGCATTCCTCCATTCATGTTATAGAGCTCAGCTGTGGCATTCCTCCATTCATGTTATAGAGCTCAGCTGTGGCATTCCTCCATTCATGTTATTATAGAGCTCAGATGTGGCATTCCTCCATTCATGTTATTATAGAGCTCAGCTGTGGCATTCCTCCATTCATGTTATTATAGAGCTCAGATGTGGCATTCCTCCATTCATGTTATTATAGAGCTCAGCTGTGGCTTTCAATTCATGTTATAAAGCTCAGCTATGGCATTCCTATATCCATGTTATACAGGCTTATAGAGCTCAGCAGTGGCATTCTATTCATGTTATAGAGCTTAGCCGTGGCTTTCTATTCATGTTATGTTGAGAAATTTTAGTCATAAACTTCATTTTAAAACGCCGAGTTGACTTATCCACGGGTCAGTGCTAGTTTTTTACATTGACTGCGGGGCAATGTCGACCCCGAATGCCGCTGTTCCAACTGGTCGGGAAGTCGAACGGGCAGGTGTACAAGTTTCAGCGGGGTTCGCAGGCTTGTGTAGCCGACTCCGAGATCCATGCCGTCGACGACCATGTACCGCTGCCTGCGATTGGTTTGGGAGAGAAGTTTGTTTGAACACATGCGTTTGTATATATGAATGGCGGTCACCCAGGGAATGCTTGTTTGTGGTTAACAGCCAGGGGTGGTCGGTAATTACAAGATGTTAACATGGGGGACCACGTAGAGTCTGTTCGGTAACTGAACAGAAGGGGATCAATTCCATTTGAATGCAGGAGGATATCAGAGGAAAAAAAGATACAAATAAGGGAACACGTACCCTCGACTTATCCACGAGTCGTTGCATATTTCACAATTGCATTCGACTTCTAGATGAGTATATACGCTCTGTTCTGGCGTCCTGAAACACGTGTAATATAAGGACCATTAACATTTTGCTATTGAATGAAATGGCTGTCTGTATGCAGTATGCTATGAATGCAGTGCGTGCATTGCTACCTTTTATTATTGATCAGGATATTGATCGCTCAGATCTACCCACGAGCATCACAGACAGGTATTCCTGTTTCTGTTATCCAACTCCCTGGCAACAAGCGAGGCGGCAGTTAACAATTAGAGTCATGTGAGCCTCTCCCTCCCCTACCAATATGTACAGCATGTTCGCCTTTTACAATTCTCAGCGTAGGAGTCTTGTGGTATCCAATGAAGTAACGGAATTGGAGAATGTTTGTTTGTTTTTAAATTATACTATTTTTGCCTAAAATGTCCATTCTTCATTTATGTTATGATCTTTGTTAGTAAATACTTACTGTCAGTCATCCGGTTTGAGATACACCTCTCATAGGGCACAAAATGCGCTGGTATTCTGCAAAAAACAATGCCCTTTTTTTTTTTTTTTTTTTTTTTTTTTTTTTTTTTTTTTTTTTTTTTTTTTTTTTTTCATTGGTTCATTAGTTTTAATCTAAATAGACATGAATTTTGGGTACGTTGTATTGTCTTCATTAACGTGGCTCAGTGTGTCTGGGAACGATTTTGATTTGATAAAGAATATGATATCTGTGGTATTAATGCTGCAATATCTTAGTGTTGGCTGTCACTATCTCTAGATTAATAACATTATTTATAGCATGCATAGCAAATGAGTCATTGTTAATTCACACATTCAGCATTTTGTTTTACATTGCATACAGTATTGCAAAATGTTGGGAACTCCCCCCTCCCCCCAAATTACAACTCATCATGTTATCTTTCACATTCAGCTTTTTTTCAATCAAATTTAGCAATTTACCTTGCCCTTGACTGTACTCAGAGAATCTAGTCTAGATTGAAAGGTATTCATAAAGACTGCACAGGTAGTATGTGTTTTACCGGATTAGTGGACACTGAATGTTGTTTAGACCATCACAGTATCTGTGCCAGTGTGATAGGTCAGTTGGTTAATGCAGCAACCATAGAACCTGTTAAATGATCCGATTTGATTACTGAGGGACATCTCAGATTTCTGTTCTTGTGAGTCTTTAAAACATTTCACGTTATAACGTTTATTAATATATCTTTGTAGGGCCATAGATCTTTAGCTTTGAAGAGTTTATAGGTTTTATTCCCTCCACCAGCCTCTCTGTTGTCAGTAGATCTAATTATAAGTGTGATATTTTGGTGGAACGCGGCAAACAAAAGTTGGGTCCTTACCGCCTACTGCCTAACTGTCTTTCCTCTTTTTGTTCCCACGTGCTGTCCTTGCAAAAATGACATTGCCCAACTGCATGGACAAAGGCTTAAGTATTTTCGGATCCCTTTACATTTTATATTTGTTCATTAACCCCTTCTGAACCAGCGCCATTTCAAGACGGTCATCCTAGAAAGGATTTGTATAACCCGGATCATGGAGAAGTTAAATACACACCATTCTGTACATCCTTTGTTTTTAGAACATTTTTTGTTAAATGATCACAATACTCTTTATAAAACAATAACCTTTACACAAAGTGACTTGTGACAATGCGCCAGAGTTATTCTAATATTCTGCACCTTGTTTGCTTTTACGTTTCTGTTCTTGTTTACGTGGTATGTTTTGTCGTTTTTTTATTTTTTAGTCTACATTGTTTTGTTTTTCTGTGTATTTCTGAAACTGGAGTACACATTGAGGGTTCCCAGGGTGAAACACGAGTAATACATTTCCTAGAATGGAACAGTTACTTTTTTACGAGGGGATTGCAAAGGAATGCAACTTCCATTATATTCTATTTACTAGCTAGCTATTCAGAATGAGGGATTCTCGGTAATGGCCCTAGGCCAGTATTCTATCTTGTAGTAAAAGTTCCCATGATGCATGTGGAGTGACGCAACCGATACTACCTAAGGCACCAAGACGTGTCTAACCCTTTCCACCACTGCAGCCTTTTAATGTAAGGAAAGCTCTCCTCAGGGCTTTCTGTGTGGGAATCTGATCTTTTTTAAGGGATAATTATGGGGAAATTGTATGTTACAGGGTGTGTGTGTGAAAATCTGCGTTACCCTGCGAGACTAATTCCTTCCAACACCCCCATTTTAAAGGAAAGATCTGCACATCTGATCTTATTGCGGCCTTATTTGAGGTTGTTTTGTAGCTTGATATCATTATTTAAATAGCGCCAACAAATTCTGCAACGCTGTACAATTCATGGACTAACAGACATATATTTGCAGCAAGACGAGCTGGACGCACAGACTATAGGGTGCTCTGGGCCCTGTTTAATCGAGCTTGCATTCTAGAGGTACAAGGTTATTCACAAAAGTGAGAATTCAAACTTAATTTCAAAATTAATGTCAAAATGGTCGAATTGGAAATATTCTTCACTATGATACCGATTGGCTTAAATGTGAAATTATCTTTGATTTCACCTCACTGATCGCTATTAGAAAGTTTAATGAAAGTATTTATTTATTTAAATAATCCCCTTTAATTCATCAGACTGTAAGAAATGGTGGAAGCATTGCACAGTGTCATTTAAAAAAAAAAAATCATTTAAAAAGTGGTTTACAAAGAAGGGAATTATTGAGATCACTCTCATTTTGAAGCATTTCCTGTGCTCGTGCTACAGACATTTCAGATAAAAGTTTGGTCTGATGGGTGTTGGAAAGAGATCATTATTTGCAGAGATTGCAAGTCTGTGGAAGAATTGATATTTCTGGTAGGTGATTCCATTCTATTGGGGAGCTCTGTATTCAAAGGGAAATATAAGCTAAAATTTATGCCCCCCTATATTTAATGCATTACATGGATAAACAATTATGTAACAAAATCAATTTAAAAAGAAAAAAAACAACATAACAATCAAAAAAATGTTACTCTTAAAGACCACCACTGTTTATGGTATAGTTAGTTTACCCCAAAGAAATTACTAAAGATGCGTAGACTGTTATAAATACAGACAGCAGTAATATTGAGATTGCTATAGGACACACGGACAGATTCACTCCTTAGTGCACTGGGCTATGTGTGGCTATTGACATGCGCAGACTAATGCTGCGTGGTTCATTCCAAGTTGTGTGTGCGGCTGGGAGAAGTTGGCCAAACTTAGCACAGGACTTCTAAACCTGACATTTGGCTGCCTGATTGACAGCTCTGGGAGACATCCCACACAAAGCTGCGATGGTGCTCAGGTGACCCCTAATGCATGCTGACAAAGCATCATGGGACTTGTAGTTCTGCAACAGGGATTCTATCCTGGTTTACTGTCTCCACTTGTGACATCATTCTAGGGCCAAATATTTTATAATTTCTACATTTGCTACTAGCCAACACAGTGAATATGAATGAAATCTCACACAATGCACTAACTAACTTGTAGGTACATCATACCGAGACTCACCCCCAGGAGATTGCTAAATGCCAGGAGTGTGACGCAGGTAGCTAGTTCACACTATGGTTTCGTTTACTTGGTGATAAAAGCAGTGGGAGTTACTGCTGCACTTAGAATGGCAAATCTTAGTAGCAGACTTTGAAACATGTTATCTAAAAATAGCAAGTAGCGTCTGCCCCCTCATCTCTCCGCAGCGTTAGGTAATATATGGTGAGGGTGGGGAAATGTTTCCAACCCTGGAACCTCTCTTATTTAATCACTGTCCAGGTGGGACCAGCCCCTGGCCTAATTATAGGACATTAAAGGACTGATAACTTGTACCTTCCAGCCCCACTTTGTATCTGCAGTTCAGATTTAACAGTCTGTATCAAAAGGAACATTAAATACCAATAAAATGTACGGTGTATGAGTTGGCAGTGCCCACTGGTAGATCAACCACACGTGTCATCAGAGGGTCCTTTAGCCTTGATCTAAGGCCACTAATCGTTGACTTGCAGCGTGAATTTAATATAACATTGAAACATAACATCGCTTTGATTTGAAGACCATAAACGCATGGCCATAAGTGAGGTCACAATTGGCATATTCTCAGTGTTTTGGCTATTGGCTAATCTTTGTGTCATTCTGGAACTGTCTGTGGCGTTGGCACGATGTCCGTTAAAGCACAGAGTGTACGTCTGGCCGTGTAGCTGCTTGGAAGCTTCCTTGCTGCATGCAGCAGTTGCTCTGCTAAATATAAAGTAGTCGCTGTGCAGAGCTTTAAATATTGCATGAAAGTAGAGCAGTGTGCAGGCAGCGTCCCATGGGGACTGTGCATGCTGCACCCTCTGAACAGCTCGATGCTGGCTTTAATGGGAATATCGCAAATATAGGAGAATTCTGATAGATACCTGATTACTGATCCTGTACTGTATACTGACCACCCAGCACTGTACATTGAATATTGATCCTGTACTGTATACTGATAGTATAGCTCCGGTATTGTGTAATGATTATTGATCCTGTACTGTATACTGATAGTATAGCTCTGGTATTGTGTAATGGTTATTGATCCTGTACTATATACTGATAGTATAGCTCCGGTATTGTGTAATGGTTATTGATCCTGTACTATATACTGATAGTATAGCTCCGGTATTGTATAATGATTATTGATCCTGTACTGTATACTGATAGTATAGCTCCGGTATTGTGTAATGATTATTGATCCTGTACTGTATACTGATAGTATAGCTCCGGTATTGTGTAATGGTTATTGATCCTGTACTGTATACTGATAGTATAGCTCCGGTATTGTGTAATGGTTATTGATCCTGTACTGTATACTGATAGTATAGCTCCGGTATTGTATAATGGTTATTGATCCTGTACTGTATACTGATAGTATAGCTCCGGTATTGTATAATGGTTATTGATCCTGTACTGTATACTGATAGTATAGCACCGGTATTGTATAATGATTATTGATCCTGTACTGTATACTGATAGTATAGCACCGGTATTGTATAATGATTATTGATCCTGTACTGTATACTGATAGTATAGCTCCTGTATTGTATAATGATTATTGATCCTGTACTGTATACTGATAGTATAGCTCCGGTATTGTATAATGATTATTGATCCTGTACTGTATACTGATAGTATAGCTCCGGTATTGTATAATGGTTATTGATCCTGTACTGTATACTGATAGTATAGCTCCGGCATTGTGTAATGATTATTGATCCTGTACTGTATACTGATAGTATAGCTCCGGTATTGTATAATGGTTATTGATCCTGTACTGTATACTGATAGTATAGCTCCGGCATTGTGTAATGATTATTGATCCTGTACTGTATACTGATAGTATAGCTCCGGTATTGTGTAATGGTTATTGATCCTGTACTGTATACTGATAGTATAGCATCGGTACTGTAACACTGATAGTGACTGCAGTATGTCCAGTGACTATAGATTTTCCACTGGTTCTGTAAGTGTAATGTAATCATATAAGCAGTTACTACTCAATATCCATTATGTGTAAAATGTCCAGTGACTGCAATGTGACCTTGGGCTGTCAGATTGTGATGTGTTTGGTGGTGATCAGTGAGTGTGTGAACCAGGAAATCTCATGTTACCATTACCAGAAATGGGGAACTTTAGGTGTTTTACCTCCATTGAAGGAAATGCTAACTAATATACCGAGCCTTATGCTCTGTTTTTCTTATCTTCTCCTTGTATACGGTGAACAAGGCAGGTCGTGTGTCTCTGCTCAGTATTTTGGAAACCATGGAACCTAGATATTTATTTTGGATGGCAAACCCCTTGCTCCAGGTCCAGTACAGTTCTAGCATCAGTATGCGATCAATAAAATCTGCTGGTAGCTCTCCTAAAGTCAGACATCTTAAATGAACTTTGCGGTAGTGATTATGGTGTCAAGAGTCCCCCGGCGCTCCTCCCAAAGTAGTCAAACTGTTTAAGATATGACAATCTGGGGTCTGCGTATTGGCAGAAATTCCCTCCAGGAGTTTCCGTCGGCTCCACCGAGCTACAGCCAACACATTGAGTGAGAGTGTCAGCTGAATGCTCTCAGCCAATGAGTGAGGCTCTGCACTGCCAGGCGTAGCTTACTAGCGCTTCCTTGCTATAAAAGAACCTGCAGCGTGCTCCCAGGGGTCTCCAGGTAAGCTGTCAAACCATGACTGGTCTGTAGTTGTTATGGTACTTGGAGTTATCCTTTAAGACTTGGCCTTAGGGTTGTATTACAATTAGTATTGATATGTGGGTGTATTTGTTTTATTGATTTTGCTGTCATATTAGTGTGTTTATTTGTACTTTTATTCGCTATAACTGATGAACCATGAATTGCTTTTTGGGGGGGTGTGGTGGCTAGTGACTTTGAAACTTGATGCGACAATAGACTCTACCAACTTCAGAATTTTTTTTAAATTTTTTTTTTTAATTATTTTGAAAATTTCCATAAAAATCTTGACCTGATTAGTTGATTAATTGCTCTGCCCTGAAAGGCCTTATTCTGCCATTATTGAGTGTAAAGTTGGCATTTTATTTTTTTCCAACACAGACATATGATTAGCCCTTATCGTGCCAATTGATTTTGTTGGAAAACCATAAATAAATCATATAAACTGGGAGGCACCAAGTTTACCTTCCCATACCAGTCTCCCCTGGGTGTATGACCCTTTTTCACTGCCTGGATAACGGTTATATTAATACATTATATTGGGCACGTGGCTGATCAGTGTACATAATGTGTGGCCGTGCGTAGACCACGTGTGTCATTGTTTAAAGAAGCGCATATTATGTGTGTACTCTTGTGCATCTTTGTGTGTACTGTGTTGTGCCTGCATACATTTACTATAATTGATGTATTCTCTTAATAATAATATTTTTTTTTTTTAACGTTAAAATGGCCACATTTGAGTAATTTTCCGAGTCCGCCATATTACCAGCTCCGCCATATTAGCCTAAATCATGCACTTCCTTAGTCTTTGTTACTCGGCTCCTGTTTTAATAAATAATCCCCACGAGCCTCGTATTTTAGTGATTTAGACTATATGCATTTGGACTAGGGGTGCTGCATACACAGTGTTTTATTCTACACCTATAATCCGTACATACTACACGGTTACTGAATGGAAAGTACCGTCCAGGAGTATGTAGAATTCATATGCTGCAGACAGGACATGAAATCGCTTCTCAAGGAGATTATAAAAAGCCTTGTTTAGGTAACTGACTTGCCTCCCGCTGTATATGAATCCTATTTACTACAGAGTAACACTGCTCATGGATTCATGAATATGTTTAATAAATATATTTCCAAGAAATCCATAAGGCTCTGACAACCCTAATTACTTATTAATATTATTAGAACTTAATAATTTGGGGTCTTTAATAAAATTAGGGTGTTTCCCATCACGTGAGGCTTTGTAATTTGGGGTGCGGTCTGGTGGCGATATTTGCTCAGGTTTTATTTAACCCCTTAAGGACACATAACTTGTGTGACATGTCATGATTCCCTTTTATTCCAGAAGTTTGGTCCTTAAGGGGTTAAATAGGCTCAGAGCAGACTTTCACCAGTTTGGCACTAAAACTGTTTTAAAACAACACCTGCGCCTGTTTCTACTGAGCACTATATATAGCTCTCGTTCGCTCAGGTTACCCTGTGCACAATAGATTTACTGTGAAAGAGGTCACGTTATTCAGGTTGGGAAAGGTGAGCATTATGGGTATGAAAACCGAGATTTAAAGGGAATCGTTAGGGGACGGATCTTGGTATCTCACATTGTCAGAATGGGCAGACAAACCTAACGGATCTGTTATTGTACACATTCTGACCGGTGATTGAGGCTACATTACACAGACATGTAAAGAATTTCAGCTATTTAATTCCACTACTTAGAGCCTTTTGCTGTTACTCTGTGATTTTAGGCATTGATTCTTTACATTCACATAGTTTCAATTAATACGAAAGCATTGTAATCATTTCGCAGATTCCTTCCTCAAATTTATCAGGAAGAGTTAATCATCTCACACATGCGAACGCTTCTTGTTTTGTGAAATTGAATACTTTATTTTCCAGTGTGTTTTGCATGTGAAATAACATCTCTCTTTACACATCCGTAGAGCGCTGAAAACACAGAGGGGATTTACCTGGACACGGAGAGTGCATGCAGTGACTCTGAGCTTTTCCCGGATGATGATAACATGACACTGTCCCAGAGGGATCCCCACCATGAGTCTGACCTGGACAGCGCCATCGGAAGCACGAACAGTTCTGAAACATCAGACGAGTGTAGGAGTGAGGATAAGGCTGGAACGCTTGAAGGGCTCTACCTACCTGGAGATCAGTGAGTGGGGATTTAATCTGTCTTTAATGTTATGTTTTTCTATATATCTACGTTTCATGCACTGTGTCTAAAAACAAGCTGGTTCATACATCAGGGACTTTTCAAGTGGGTTGGGATATGATTCATCAGGTCTTATTAAAGGGGCACTATAGTCATCAGAGCAAGTTTAGCTTAATGAAGCAGTGTTTTGTTTTTTTCAATTCTTTATTTTATTCGTGGAAAGTGTGAACAGCCAAATTTGCACTGCCACGATAGCTGGTGCAAGCGAATATGTATACATATAACATCATTAGTATGGCATTGAAAAACATTGCACATTTTTTATAATCAGAACAGGAAACATGTTAAAGGTTAAACAAGCTTGTGCGATTCGACATGCTGATAGACTGAGTTAGTGATTGATTAATTACTTATGTATGAGTTTATTCGCTAAGTCGTGCGTTAACCTAGATTTTCATGAGATAGGTAAAATGAAGCATGCTTCGTATCAGTTCGGTAGGGGAAGGGGTAGTTATTTGGGTGGCTTGGCTGGGTGATATAGGAGGGGATGAGGGGAGGGGGCGACAAGGTCGGTAAGGCTTGGGGACTGGGATGATCCCCGGGGGATTTTCCCGAAGGTGCATCCCCCTGCCTAGTCTGTCCCGCAGGGTGGGTTGTTGGGTAGGGTTGGGAATTCGAAGACCCACGGCTCCCAAATTTTGTCGAAGTGCTTGGTGGTGTTGAGTACCAGGGCGGTGAGTTTATCCATTGTCATTGCTTCATTGATTTTGTGTTTTATGAGGGTTATGGGTGGTATATCTGGGCTCCCCCATTTTTCTGCAATTGCTCGCCTGGTGGCTAGCGCTAGTTTGGCTATCAGTTTGTTTTGTGCCCTTGTGGTGTCTCTAAGGGGTCTAGAGAGGAGCCATAGCCATGGGTCCATCGGGATGGTGGTGTGTAGTGCTTGCGAGGCTAATTGCACTATCTGTTACCAGAGTGGGATTATCTGCGGGCACTCCCACCACATGTGGATGTATGTTCCCCGATTTCCACATACCTTCCAGCAGAGGTCATTGTCCTTTTGTTTCATTTGTTTCGTATAGATCATGCCTGTAATCAATTCTCTGTCATTTAGTCGTTAAATTACTTTTGTTTGTGTCCATGCAGCCCTAGCCACACTTCTCCTGGCTGTGACTGACACAACCTGGATGAAAACAATATGGTTTCATTTTCATTCAGATGGTAACTTGAATTAGATGTTTTTATCTCCTTCTCTGTAAATTGAACTTTAATCACACACAGAAGATTAAAGGGTATAGCAGGTTATTAACACTGCAGGAGATAAGAAATTCTAAATTAAACAGTCTGTCTAATAAAGATAGTGTTAACATTAGATCTCTCTTTACAGGAAGTGTTTAGGAAGACTGTACAAGTCACATGCATGAAGGTGTGACTAGGGCTGTAAACAAAGTAATTTAACTTCTAAAAAGCAGAGAATTGAGCATTGAGAATGCAGGGACATGATCTATACACCAAAACTGCTTCATTAAGCTAAAGTTGTTTTGGTGAGTATATGGTCCTTTTTTATAAGATTGCAGATCTTCTATCCAACTCACGGCTAACTTCGTATCACAGATGCTGGAACTACATTTCCCATGGAGTGATTGAGCATTATGGGATTTGTAGCTCAGATATATCTGAAGTTGCCAAAATTAGCCATCTCTAGTCTAGACTCTTTTATTGCTATGGAAACAGGAAGTAAATTAAACAAACACGAAATGTTTAGCACTTCAAACCAACGAATGTATTTCCATTTAATACTTTTTCTTACTTGTCCTGTGATCTCCTTGCTGTCTCTACAGTTTGTCCTCATCTCGTATTCTTTATTCCTTGTATCAGATTCTGGTGATGAGATTTGTTAGAGCATAGTTTGTCTTGCCTGCTAATGAAGGTTGATGATATCACTGATGTGTTCTGTGTGGATACACCTTCCCCAATCTATGGATGTAGCGATGTTTTAAATCTGACAAAAAAAAAAACTAACAAAGAGTAATGGTCCTCTTCACATGATGGATTGTAAGATTCTCACTTTTTCTTCCTCAGAAATATTCTCAATCCTTCCGCAACGTCTGACTTCTGTTCTCATTCCACGGCTTCGCTGATTAGCAACGAGGAGCAGTTTGAAGACTACGGAGAGGCAGATGATGTTGATTACAACCCTGGCAGCCCCTGTCCCGATGATGAGAGCAGAACAAATGCATTTTCTGATCTTGGCTCATCTGTGTCTTCCAGGTATCGTATTTAGACAAACAGTGTTCTAACCATTGATCATGTCTCTTAGGGTAACCCCATAATTCCTGCTGTTGTATAATTTACTATGTATTTTTTTTTTAAACTAAGGCTCAATAGCAGCTTTCTGCAGTGACAGACTAGATAAATCGCAAACTCGAACTAATTTCATACAGAAACCAAGCCCTGTCCCTAGAATAGATTGTGATTAGCTCACTATATGATTCACCTTCTCATAAAAGTGCCACTAAATGTGTCTGTTAAATATGTGAACGTTTATAATGACCCATGCTATATTCCTTACACAGCACTCATTGTTTCTTGCCCTTACAGGGAATATATTATAGGAATTCATTTAAAAAAAGGTTCTTTTAAAATAAATTCTCCTTATACCTTGTGTGTTTATAATTTTCTATGTGATTTCCGTATTACAGCGCGGGGCAGACTCCTCGGAAAATGAGGCATGCGTACAATGGCGAGTTACTGGACATGTACTGCTCGCAGTGCTGCAAGAAAATCACTCTACTCAACGACTTGGAAGCCAGACTGAAAAATCTCAAAGCCAACAGGTGACTTCAAAGTGACGACTTGTCTGTCTATAGAGTTCTTTCTCCAGTGTAATTAAAGGGCCTCCAGAACAGTGGTGGTGTTTTATGTCTACATTTAAATAAACTGATAAAACTAGCTTGTAGATTAGCAAGCACTCATCATATGTAAAAGAGAGATTATGGTGAAATGAAGAACAGTGAGCAGTATGTATTGAAGAGAAAACCTGGTAGTAGGAAAAACAAAGTCTGATAAAACAGTGAGAATATTTTCTCTATAAAATGCAAAGTGACATAATATGGAGGTTAAAACTACATAGATATTTATATAAACATGCTGTTCTATATTTGTGACGGTAGTAATCCGTATTCCCATCAAATATTCCCTTTTTCCCAATAACAGAATAATGCCAATAATCTACAGGGTAAAATAATGCTGGCACCGCCAAATAATCCACACATGAGCCAAAGCTTAATGCTGGAACAAGACTGATTTATTCGAAGCAACAGGCATTCAATTTATACATTACAAGCTCCTCCTCTGGGCCAGGCTAGCTAACTGAGTTTCAGCAACATACTAAACTCAATTATCTGCTGGCCAGAAAAATTACTATTATTCACAATTTTTAAAACTATACTTTATGCACATCATAACAATATAAAAGCTGAGGATACTGTGAGCAACATATTTAATTTGCACGAAAATCTGTTCGGTACTTTTTGTGTCGCATCATGTGTAAGTTTGACCGACTTGCCATGCGGTTGTATCCGATACAGAGTTCCACAGAATTGGTAGTAAGAGCCAGTCTCCGTTCGGATAAAATAGTTAAAATGCAGATGGTTCGTGGAGAATGCTCCCTTCGTTCATTGTTTGAAACTCCCGAACACCGTTCGTATACTGTAAGTGGAAATAGATCAGACGGGACTTCCACGGGGAACAGATGTTCGTACGAGTGCTATGCCGAAAACAGTTCCAGGCACTCAACGACCAAGTCCCGCTGGCCGCGTTCGGGAGTTTAAGATGGCCACCATCCATTGTTCTCACCGCGTGCGTTCGTATGCACGAAATGGCGGCCACCTAGGAGCATTCAATTGCTTTGCGGTTTTGTGTGGTTACATAGGGTTTCCATGTTCTAATTGCTACCCAGGGTGGTCTCTGTTTGGTAAAGCGAATGATTTACTGAATGAACAAATAAAACGAATGCTTTCAAGGCACTTAAATAGCAGGGAGGGAAAACAGCCGAATGAATATAGGAGAATCCTTCACAATATTTATTTCCATAATATATGCATTTAACTATAAATAGTTTTGATCAAATTAGCCTCTATACGTGCCTGTAATAAAAATTTTGATCTATGAATATATACATGAATTCCTCCTTGGTTCCTTAGTGAAGGAATATTCTGATGTATTAAACTTTATGTAACTAGGAACCAGGTATTCTAAATGTAATGATTGATCTCTCTTATCCTGCAGCCCCAACAGGAAGATTACCAGCACAGCCTTTGGGAGGTAAGATTTTTTAATTTCATTATCGATACTATAGTTCCGGTTCCTCGTAGTTGGTGAAAAACGTTTACCATGAACAAGTATGTACCTTAGTATGGTAGCCAGATCCGCAACGGTGCCTAGCATAGCCACTGTCCCTCTGCGGTGCCCTGCGTGGCCACGCGTCTCTCCGCAGTGCCCTGCGTGGCCACGCGTCTCCGCGGTGCCCGGCATGCTGAAATATGTTGCTGCAGAAGAATGTTCTTATACTAAGCGACAGTATATATGGGGCACCCTACTAATCACAGCTTTTTTATTTTTTATTTATTTTTATTTTTTTGTAGGCAACTTCTCCACAATAGTAACTTCAGCAGCAGCAACGGGAGCACAGAGGACTTATTCAGGGACAGCATTGACTCCTGTGACAATGACATCACTGAAAAGGTAAGCACCACCGCCGGAGTGTGTTGGGGAATGTGTGAGAGTCGGAGTGTGTTGGGGAATGTGTGAGAGTCGGAGTGTGTTGGGGAATGTGTGAGAGTCGGAGTGCGTTGGGGAATGCGTGGCAGCCGGAGTGCGCTGGGGAATGCGTGGCAGCCGGAGTGCGCTGGGGAATGCGTGGCAGCCGGAGTGCGCTGGGGGATGCGTGGCAGCCGGAGTGCGCTGGGGGATGCGTGGCAGCCGGAGTGCGCTGGGGGATGCGTGGCAGCCGCAGTGCGCTGGGGGATGCGTGGCAGCCGCAGTGCGCTGGGGGGTGCGTGGCAGCCGCAGTGCGCTGGGGGATGCGTGGCAGCCAGCGTGTGTTGGGTATCATGAAAATATCAGAAATCACTGTTAGATCAGTTAGACATCCCGATTGTTTCAGTTTGGAGACCTGCCTGAGTATTCATGGCAAACATTGTCTAAAATGAAGAAATAAAATAATGATTCCATTTAGCTTTAAACCATGTAAATCATTGTAAAATCATGTTAACAGCACTGCACACGTTCACACAGTTGTAACTTATGTGTTCGTTATGGAATAAACTCAACATATTTCAATGTTACGTCTGGCAGGTGAGCTTCCTTGAGAAGAAAGTTTCCGAATTGGAAAATGAGAACCTCACCAGCGGGGATGTGCAGAGTAAACTGAAACATGACAACACACAGCTGGTACATCGGTAAGACCTCAGCACAGCGCCATGCCAGCTTTAGGGCATATAATGGGTACAGAGAATGGAGAGGGTGTACATAGACTGTAATGGCCGGGGATGAGAGTTACATAGACTGTAATGGCCAGGGAGGCTGTATAACGAGAGTTACATAGACTGTAATGGCCGGGGATGAGAGTTACATAGACTGTAATGGCCGGGGATGAGAGTTACAGAGACTGTAATGGCCAGGGAGGCTGTATAACGAGAGTTACAGAGACTGTAATGGCCGGGGAGGCTGTATAACGAGAGTTACATAGACTGTAATGGCCGCGGAGGCTGTATAACGAGAGTTACATAGACTGTAATGGCCGCGGAGGCTGTATAACGAGAGTTACAGAGACTGTAATGGCCGGGGAGGCTGTATAACGAGAGTTACATAGACATGTAGTGGCCGGGGAGGCTGTATAACGAGAGTTACAGAGACTGTAATGGCCGGGGAGGCTGTATAACGAGAGTTACAGAGACTGTAATGGCCGGGGAGGCTGTATAACGAGAGTTACATAGACTGTAATGGCCGGGAGGCTGTATAACGAGAGTTACAGAGACTGCCAATGGCGGGAGGCTGTATAGCGGAGAGTTACATAGACATTAGTGGCGGGAGGCTGTATAACGAGAGTTACAGAGACTGTAATGGCCGGGGAGGCTGTATAACGAGAGTTACATAGACTGTAATGGCCGGGGAGGCTGTATAACGAGAGTTACATAGACTGTAATGGCCGGGGAGGCTGTATAACGAGAGTTACAGAGACTGTAATGGCCGGGGAGGCTGTATAACGAGAGTTACATAGACATTAGTGGCCGGGGAGGCTGTATAACGAGAGTTACAGAGACTGTAATGGCCGCGGAGGCTGTATAACGAGAGTTACATAGACTGTAATGGCCGCGGAGGCTGTATAACGAGAGTTACAGAGACTGTAATGGCCGGGGAGGCTGTATAACGAGAGTTACATAGACTGTAATGGCCGCGGAGGCTGTATAACGAGAGTTACATAGACATTAGTGGCCGGGGAGGCTGTATAATGAGAGTTACAGAGACTGTAATGGCCAGGGAGGCTGTATAACGAGGGTTACAGAGACTGTAATGGCCGGGGAGGCTGTATAACGAGAGTTACATAGACTGTAATGGCCAGGGAGGCTGTATAACGAGAGTTACAGAGACTGTAATGGCCGGGGAGGCTGTATAACGAGAGTTACAGAGACTGTAATGGCCGGGGAGGCTGTATAACGAGAGTTACAGAGACTGTAATGGCCGGGGAGGCTGTATAACGAGAGTTCTATAGACTGCAATGGCCGGGGAGGCTGTATAACGAGGGTTACAGAGACTGTAATGGCCGGGGAGGCTTTATAACGAGAGTTACATAGACTGTAATGGCCGCGGAGGCTGTATAACGAGAGTTACAGAGACTGTAATGGCCGGGGAGGCTGTATAACGAGAGTTACAGAGACTGTAATGGCCGCGGAGGCTGTATAACGAGAGTTACATAGACTGTAATGGCCGGGGAGGCTGTATAACGAGAGTTACAGAGACTGTAATGGCCGGGGAGGCTGTATAACGAGAGTTACATAGACTGTAATGGCCGCGGAGGCTGTATAACGAGAGTTACATAGACATTAGTGGCCGGGGAGGCTGTATAACGAGAGTTACAGAGACTGTAATGGCCAGGGAGGCTGTATAACGAGGGTTACAGAGACTGTAATGGCCGGGGAGGCTGTATAACGAGAGTTACATAGACTGTAATGGCCAGGGAGGCTGTATAACGAGAGTTACAGAGACTGTAATGGCCGGGGAGGCTGTATAACGAGAGTTACAGAGACTGTAATGGCCGGGGAGGCTGTATAACGAGAGTTACAGAGACTGTAATGGCCGGGGAGGCTGTATAACGAGAGTTACATAGACTGTAATGGCCGGGGAGGCTGTATAACGAGAGTTACAGAGACTGTAATGGCTGGGGAGGCTGTATAACGAGAGTTACAGAGACTGTAATGGCCGGGGAGGCTGTATAACGAGAGTTACATAGACATTAGTGGCCGGGGAGGCTGTATAACATGACACCACGTCATCTTTTTCTGCTTGTTCCAGGGTTCATGAGCTGGAAGAACTTCTAAAAGATCAGGAGACCAGGTCAGAGCAGATATTGGACGAGGAATTTAAACGTCACCGAGAAATGTTCGGCAAACTCCAGAAGGAAAAAAACACAGAGATTGAGCTACTGAATGCCAGGTAATGTTTTAATATTTTTACTTTGCAGAATAATAAAGCTGGTACTGTCCAGCCCTAAAGGAATTCCTGTAATCCAGTAGAGTAGTGCCGCGTGTTAAATGTAAACCTGTAAACCTGGCATTGGCCAAACTCTGCTCACATCTTTATGGGTTTAGTCCAGGTGTGTTCTGTTCCTGTTCTGTTCTGTTTTAGGTCTAACTTGTTATAATCCTAGTTTTAATGTTGATTTCAGATTAAATGTATGGCATATAGGGTAAGGGATTCACATCTAAAGAACCCTCATCTGGTCCAGAGTCACTATGCTAGGTCTGTAATAGATCTGACTTTTAATATATTGAGCCCATCTATGTTCTGCTATAGAAAAGAAAAGAGGTGTCTTGTGATTAACAATAAATGACTGGCGATGTCCCATAAATGTCTTCGAAAAATCCTTTGGATTCCTGTCGTATATCTAATTTTTAATCTAGATCGCTTTGTCCCGTTATGTCCCTAGTTTGAATATGTGGTGTACCAAGTCAATCTTATGTAAGACATTTCATAGTTTTGTAGGCAGTTATTTGTTCTTGATAAGATATATGCTGTTGTAGGCCATGTAGCCATTGTTCTGGGATAAGATGTTAGGCCAGATCTGTAATACTATAGCCATGTGCATATTCTAGAGCTAGACTGTAGACGGGCCATTCTGTTCCATGTTGGCTTCTAGATTACTACATTGTTCTCTGTCTGGGATATTAATATTGTTCTGGAGTCGATTTGAGTTCTAGGTGACACGTTATTCATATTATCGCCCATAACTTTGCACACTTTCCATTTGCTGTTGTATAGTTTTTATAATTTGAAATAAATTCTTTAATTAAAGGGATCTAGGGAATCCCAGCTGAACTCCGACGTTTTGCAGTTTTACGTCCAGAGAGGTCTGTTTGTTTCTGTGTTCCCGGTAGGCAATGTTACCTTGGTTTCAATATTCTTCCATCTCTTCAAAACACTGGAAAATGAATTCATTTAAATCATTTCCTCCTGTAATTACCATGTTAATGTTGCTAATCGGCTCCTCTGATATATTTATACGATGATATTTATGTGGAATTTCTAGTTTCTCAGCATTACCATCTACAGTCCATTAAATCATTACTTCCAGAGGCTGCAGAGACATTGTTTAACGGATCATAAAAAGATATCTGTGGGTTTATCCACTGTACCCTGAGTCACTTAGAGCTGTCAACGGGCTCTAAATATCTGGGCCCAAACAGTGGGGTAGGAAAATTCTCCAAATTTACTATTTTATCCTAAATTCTTCAATCAGGTTGTCCAGTCAGTCCAATTATTAAATAAAGCCCCATGAATATATCTGGTCGTCCAGTTATAATTTACAAACTTGTTTTGTAATTCAGGGTTCAGGAGCTCGAGGAGGAAAATGAGGACTTACTAACGAGCATTACCAGACTGAAATCCCAAACTGAGAAAATAGACGAGGTTAGTACAGCCAAACATAGGACCGCCGTTCCAGTATACAGATCTCGCCTCGATTGCAATGTATATCTAATGCAAAATGAGAAGTCGTTCCTGTTTGTACAGCTTGCAGTCTAAGCGGGGAATTGGAACCGGGCAGGTTTGTGTTTCCTGTTTCTTACAGCAATATTGGACACTAATCTAAATGGTTAATAGTGCCATGAGCCAGGGCAGTAAACAGACAGATGCTAGAAATCTTAAACTCTGCTTTCTGTCACTGTTCATTCTTATCTGAAAAGGCTCAGATTAACACTTCATTATCTTTCTGTCTCAACCAGTTGAAAAATAACTTTGATTCCTTTTTTCTGCGACAGGAAAGGCAGAGGATGTCCGATAAACTGGAAGACACCAGCTTACGGCTTAAAGATGAGATGGACCTATACAAGAAAATGATGGATAAATTGAGACAGAACCGTCTGAATTTCCAGAAAGAAAGGGATGCCACACAAGAAGTGAGCAGAACCCAAGAGGCCATTAAGTTCAGAACTAGTCATTAATGGAATGAGTATTTTATAGCGAGAAAGGGATATTTCCTATCTGTCTTTAGTCAACTGATAATAATTTGTGGAGATGTACCACCACTAAAACATGAAGGGGCTTTAGCCCTTAAACAAATAGAATGTTTAGGGGGTGGTGGTGAGACCTCAATGGAGTGCTAAATTGATAGATTCATTTGAGAATTATAGGGCCATGTCCTCTCTCTCTCTGCTTCCCTCAATTCACAATATCTTTTTATTTGTAGCTCATTGAAGACTTGCGGAAAGAGCTGGAGCATTTGCAGATTTATAAAATAGATTGTGAGCGTTCTGGACGAGGACGCAGTGTGTCTTCAGGGCTTTGTGAGTTTAATTCCAAGACAAGAGAGATGGAACTGGAACAAGAAATCAGAAAGCTGAAACTGGTAATTAATCTATTGTTAACACTATCTTCCAAAACCCAGCCATTCCTGGGGTCTTCCAAAGATATATTTGGGGTGGGGTGTCCACTATCAGGCCATTATAGTAGTCTCCAAACCCCACCCATTCCAGGGGTATTCAAAACCCATCCACACTGAGTATTCTAAAACACGTGGGGCTGTGTTTGAGATCGCATGAGAGTTCTGGCAAATGTTTTTTTTTCATTGACCAACACATTTTACTCTTTATGCATGTCTATTAAGAAATGTGTTTATTTGATAGGATAACCAGAAACTTCGGGACCAAAATGATGATCTAAATGGACAAATCCTCAGCCTCAGTCTGTATGAGGCCAAAAATCTGTTTTCCACCCAGTCCAAGGCTCAGTCCCTGGCTGCCGAGATAGACACTGCCTCCAGGGATGAGGTAAGAGATGCTTTCTTCCCCAGAGTTCCTCAAGAGCAAACCCTCTGCAGGAATCAAATACTCCAGAGGAATACTCTGTAGTTCAGACTATATTATTTATGAAACTTTTTTTAAGCAGTTTTAATGTATACATCGTGCCTCTGAAGTCTCACTGATCAATTTTGTTGCCATTTATGAGTTAAACCCTAGTCACACCCCTCTGCATGTGACTTGCACAGCCTTCCTAAACACATCCTGTAAATGAGATCTAATGTTTACACTTCCTTTATTGCAAATTCTCTTTAATTTAAATTTTCTTATCCACTGCACTGTTAAATCGTTTAATAGATCCTGTAGGAACCTTCTGTATGTAAATAAAATTCAAATTGGAGAGCAGAAAATAAAAACTTTTAAAGTAAGTTACATCTGATTGAAAGTGAAACCATATTGTTTTAAAGCAGGCTGTGTCAGTCACAGCCAGGAGAGGTGTTGCTAGAGCTGCATAAACAGAAACAAAAATGATTTTACTCCTAAATGGCAAAGATTTGAGCAGTGAGACTTCAGAGGCAATGATCTATACACAGAAACTGCTTCATAAAGCCAAAGTTGTTTTGGTGCCTATAGTGTCTCTTTAATGATGTAATCGAGAAGCTACTAATCATGTTGCTTACCAGGGCTACAGATTAACTTTCTTCTCCTCGCTTTCAGCTCATGGACGCCTTAAAGGAACAAGAGGAAATCAACTACCGTTTACGGCAATACATGGATAAAATCATCTTGGCCATTCTTGAAAATAACCCTTCGATACTGGAAATAAAAAACTAATTTGGACTTCTACTTAGACACAGAGTGGAGCTGGAAGTAGATAGTGCTTCTAACTCCTCAATATACTGTGAGGCATTCGTAAATATAGTTTTATAGATTTCACTCTGATGTGTTTCAGTGGATTTCTGTTGCTTTGGTAAAGCCGTAACTTCGTGAACAAAAAATATGCCAATATTTTGCTTTTTCTTTTTTTTTTTTTTTTTCCCCAAGACACTTTTATGACTTTTTGCTGCTGTATTTTAGACGGATAGAACTGGAAGTCTTCGGTACACATTCCTCTGTAGCTCTACTTCTAGTAGTATGCTCAATGCTAGGTCGCCCCTCGACTGAAGATGCCATTGTTTGAATGCATCCTGGCTTTGCCGTTTTCCCACCGAATTCCTCATTCCATCCATCAGTCGCCAGGTTTAATATCTGTGTGACGACTGCTGACAGCACAAGGGTTAAATATTACCTAGAACGCCCTATGGGTTACAACTTGAAAACTTTTAATGTAGGTCAGTACCTTAAACCGTGATCTCCTTAAAATATGTGAAGCCCGGAAATAAAAGTGAAGTTAGCAGACATTTGTTATAAAATCACAGGAACTGTTATTAATAAGCAGATTTTTTACCGGGGGAAATGTACGTGTGAGCAGTAAAATTAATTACAGAATCAATTCAAATGTTTCCGTTCTGGAGTTGGCCCTGTTGGCTGATTTGCATGATTAGCCACTCCCATTAATTAACGCCACTGATTTAAGTGTAGTTAATTTGTCTCAAGGACCTAAAATTTAGGATTTATACAGCGGTATTTTGAGCCTATGATGATTAAAGAACGATGGGATTATTAGTTTAAACATAGCGGGAGACTGCAATGGACACCTCCGCGCTAATCTACTTGTGCAAACTGATGTGAAGACATTGTAACATAAGTGCCACTGAAATCAACGGAGCAAATTAATGCAGAAGTCATAGTAAATCAGCCAAAATGGCCACCGCAGAGGTTAGCATTTGGAGAACCCCCGTTTTAAATCTCTCGCAGGACAAGAACATTTCATTCTGTTGTAGGTAAAATATACTCTCATGTGATAGTGTCAGCGTGGCATGTAGTGGTATAGAACAACACACTTATTAAGAACCGTAATCATTTTAAAATATTTTAGCTCATATGTTAGATATGTAATAGTATTTATTATTTTTTTTTAAAAAGACAAAAAAAACTGGGCAAAATGTCATTTAAGCCTTTTCAGCCCTTCTACAACAAAATGGCTGCTTCCAGGAAGTGGATTTTGTTGCCAAAATAAGATCATTCAGCAGAGAGAATGGAGATAGTGTACTTCTTAATGCAACAATTTTTTATTTATTTATTTTTTTAAATGATTTCCTTTTAACTCGTAATGGCCAGGAATACATGTGATGCACTGAGATTTAAATTATTAAGATTATGCCAAAAAAAATAAATAATATATATATAAAATAAAAAATCCCATTGTGGTTATGTACGGTCAAAGACCATAAAATATTTCTGACTTTGAGACGCAATAAATACCTTTCACAAAACATGCACTTTAATTGTTACAGCTGGCAACATAAATGGTATAATTGGGGGTATTCTGTTTACTATCTAGATAATTATTCACAAATATTGAGTTCATACATTTTTTTTTTTCCCCTCCAAAATGTAGCATTTCTTTGTTTAACCCTTCTGCTACCAGTGAAGTCAAAACCACAAATCAGGAGACTTTGTGAATGCCATCCACACCCTTATTTATGTATGTGATTTGTGATATATGTTGCACTTCCAGTATGTTTAAGTACTGAATGTAAGGAGGCGTTTCCTTTTCATTGACTGCCTTCCGCGCGGTTCCAATATTGTGCATGAATTTTGGGTTTTGTGCCTTCAAACTGTAAGTGATCTGCATCTCTATTTTGTACATGTTCCTTGATGGATTTGTTGGCATTTTTCATACCTTGTAAATGTGTAAATAAACTAGAGATTTGTATCCCTTGTGCCACATCTATAATTAAAAATAAAAAGACCTGCGTTATTTTTACAGGTTGTAGTATTGTTGCTGCTTGACGGAATGATTTTTAGATGGTCGGAAAAAAAATTCAGAATCTTTGTACGAATACCTAGAACGTGCAATAAGATGCTGAGAGAGATCCCGAATACGTTTTATTTATTTTTTGAATTTTGGCTAAATTGTGGAGTTCTGTGATCTATTTGAACAGCTATACATCCAAGAAGATGATATGAACAGATTTGATCTAATGTGAGCTTGTTAAATGTGACACCTACCCGATCCTTTCAGACAGAATTCACGGGTGTACAAGTACTTGTCAGTATGTTCCATAAAACCACTTCGGCTTTTTTGACTTCTATTTCTTCATTCTAACCACTTAGGACCTTTCTCCGCCATCTTGACTAGAAAGCCGATCCATAAATCTACTGACCTTTATTTTCCCTTTTCGTTCCTTATTTCCCATTAAATCTATTTATTCGTGTTGCTTCCTTTGTACTGATTTAATCCAAAGCTAGAAATGTCAGTGAGAGTTTCTACAAAAAAAGACAATTACTGTGTTGCATTATTTTCTTGTGTCAAATGGTCTAAAAGGCCGTGGATAGAAAAAAAACAAGAAGAATTATTTGAAAATTCTGTTTTCTGTACCAAGCACTGATATATAGATACAATTCTGCTAATGTTAGGGAAAGTTAGTGAAAAAAAATGTGAACAGAAGGAAAGACCATTTTATATAGTTTATTTTTAAAATATATGTGTAAAATTTTAGGAAACTCCATTATCTGTACTGTTCTAGGTAAAATGAGTAATTGGAAGCTCCACATAAAGTTACATTTAGAAAATCATGAGAAATAAATAATTATAAGCACCCACTCCGATAAAATAAGAGAAGCTTAAAAAAAAAAAAACAGTATATACATTTTGCTGGCTTTTGGTAAACACATCATTCCGATATTGGATATATGAACTCCATGAGCCCCTTTGATGAAAATGCCAAGTAACTTACTCATAGGAGCCATGCCTGCAGTTTGTTTACGATGAGCCATCCAGAGGAGAACAGTCAGTTGGATCAATCACGGTTCTGGATTTAGACATTCTACCAGCTCTATGTGATGGCATAGAGACAATCCAACCGATGTTATACTGCTCCTTGAGACACTGGACCTTTGGTGAAAAACTGCTGCTATGGTCCCCCACCTGCCAGGACTTCTCTGCATTCTCCTTATAGGCATCATGGCTGGAACTGTGGGACAATTTCCTCTCTGTCCATGACTTTAGGCAAAAAATAAAAGGTTGTACCAGCTCTGAAATGAGGTCTTTTTCACTGATTCCTGACTCTTTTCTTATTTTACCTTTTTCCCCTAAAATGTTCAGTATTTGACATTGTTTTAAAGAAAAGTCATTATATTTCTATGTTATGTCTCACTGTGATGCCCTGACCTGTAGACATTCTACCTGCAGTGTGCTGTGTTCCATGAAGGGCCTATGGTAAGGATCAGCATTCGCTGTCTCTAAGATAATCTTACTCCCTTGTTCTCTATCCTAGTTGAGTGTATGCGCGAGATTCTAAGACAACTGAGCTACAGGAGGATTGGCCACATCAAGCGAAGATCACCTTACAGGATGGCTGAACTAGCTGCAACCCCCTAAAGTTAAAGAGTGACTCCAACCACCATAACCACTTAAGTGATTTGAAGTGGTCGTGGTGGTAGGAGTCTGTATGTGCTGTTTTTTAGCTGGGAAACTGCACATACAGAGTTATTGGTAATTGGGCTGCCTAATGGCAATTTTGTGCATAAATTACCTTTGTTGTCTAGTGCCTACAAGGGGAAGCTAGCTCTCGCCTTCCTCCATCACTCATTTACACTTTTTATAAAAAAAAAAAAATTAAAAAAAACACACAACCTCCATCCACCTCCCTCATCTTGCCAGCCCGGAGCATACACATGCACTACATTGGCTCCTGTCTAAGGGTGCGATATATTAGGCAGCAAGTGAACAGTTAGTTCTGGAATTTTATGTGTTGGAAGCAGGAAAAATGGGCAAGTGAAAAGATCTGAGTGACTTTGACAAGGACCAGATAGTGATGGCTAGATCACTGGGTCAGAGCATCTCCAAAGGGGGCGGGGCCTGACAGCCATGGAGAGCAGACGTGTCCTGTTTGAGCTCCTCCATTGTCCTGCGTTTTAAAGCATTTTTAAAGCCTGCTACTGCTCAATTGGGGACAAAACAAATTAAGTCTGCCATAAAGTCTGCAATGCCCAACATACCAAACAGGCGGGCAAGTGTTCAGCGACCCATCGGGAGACCCTGGGATCCACCATGGCAATTTCGGCCCAAGGTGCACCAGGTGGGAGTAGTGGCTGAGCTCCTGAACTTGAGGTGCCCAGAGGCTGACAGCCTGAAACCAGCACCCTGTTACCCCCCTCCCCCCTTGGACCAGTGGGGGTGATCCCGGTCCTCCCCTGGGGGAATACCCAGCTCGGGCAGGGACCCGAAGTGTGGGTAGGAGAGCAGGTGGGCCACACATCGCCTTACCTAAAATGGCAGAGACTGCGTGCGCTACACATGCCAGCGATGCTCGAAGCTACTTCCTAACCAACTCTTCTCTAACTTCTGGCAACAATTGAAGAGTTGGAAGTTCCCTTCTGCCTCACTGCACACAGAGACATACTCACCTCGGAGAGTCCTGCCCAAGCCAGCAGCTACACCAGCTCTGTGGGCTGCGGCACGCTGGAGGGTCAGACGCCGCACTTTACCCAGACACAAGGCGGCTCAGAAGAAACCATACAGCAAGAGACCCGACTCACCTGCCTACACCTCGGTACCACGATCTGCAGTATGCCTCCTTAAGCATATTGCCTCACGCTATCAGAATCACCTCACCGCAGCGGAACTCTGACCTCGCGGTTGCAACGCCATCCTGCATCTCATGGAGCGGCGGGCTACACCACATCGCTGAGCGGACCCCTGCTACCAGGCTGCGGGCCTTGAGATCTGGAGTTGGTTGAGTGCCTAATATAAACTGGCTACGTGTGTCCAACAACTACTTTACGTTTCACTGGGACACCTGTTTCTTTTATCTGCACTGCTGTCATGTCTAATTCTTGTTTGCGAGGACTCTTTACTGCAGCTGAGCAGGGTTTTCATTCATTTCGTTCATGTTTCATTTTATTGATTTTTTTTTTTCTATTTTAATTTACTGATTCCAATGCCCAGTATTTTATTAGCCATGAGATTATATTGCTTTGATGCTACCACTCTGTGAAACCATTTCCAAACCCTATCTCGCTAATAACACACTTGCACATACACCCACGGGCTGTTGCTTCCCTGTAGCCCTGGTGGTCTTCCCTGGCACCTAAGCTTGCATGTCAATCAAACGTTACCATACTGTAATCTAAGTAGTCATAAAAAACTAGACTGTGACCCACACGCAATGTATCACACACTATGTTACATGTCTATGTGTCCAAGATGGCTCAGCATGTTCTCTCATTTCACTGGACGCTCTGACATATTAGTCTTGCGAGCTTAAAAGAGTATAAGTCCCTATTGTGTACGACAACTAATCACATGCTTTATTTGCCATTCTCTTTTCGGTAATGTTTTACCCAACGTTGAGCCTAATTATTATAAAAATTGTGCAGTTTTATTCTATGCCATATTTCTGTTAACCATAAGCTGTCGGTATCTGCTATTGTGGCATTACCAGCATGTTTGTATTCTTTATGCACACAAAAATAAAGAATTAAATAAATAAAGTATCTCCAAAAATGGCAGATCTGGTGGCAGGGCTGCCATCAGGGCATGGCAGCCATGATGAATGTGACAGGCCCGGCAGTCCTGGGGGCCCAGGCCCTCGTATTACAAATGTGTGTGTGTGTATATATATATATTGATTATCGGTATATATATATATATGTGTGCCCTGCGCAGCAGCAAACTACCACTGGTGCAGCTGAAGGGGGCCCCATTGGGTGGCCCATGCATTTAGAGCCACCTAATGGGCATATGACTTAATGGTCCGTTCGTGTTCTGTGGCTCTCTGTTAGCATGACCATTTAATCATCCTGGCAGTGCTGGGAGGAAATGAGCATTGGCACTTTCTCCCAGCTAACACCCACAAGGGATGGAAGAGGCACAGGAGAAAGAGGAGAGCCAGACGAAGAACTAGGGCGCCATCAGGGTGTGAAACCCATGACAGTTGTCACGGACCCAGCAGTCCTCGAAGCCCAGACCGCACGTTCCCAATCTGTAGCGGCGGAACTGCCGCCGGTCACCTGCACTGGGGTCCGCACACAGATGGGGCCCATTGGGTAGCCCATGCACCTTGGGGCCACCAGATGGGCAAATGTCTTGTGCTGGGAGGAAGGGACGCCCAGTCACTTCCTCCTAGCTTATCCATGCAGGAGGGAGGAGGGGAGAGCCAGCCACCCTCCTGCACCCAAAAGGTAAGAAATAGGAGAGTGGCTAAAAAATTAGCTGCATGTATGTGTGTGTCAGTGTGTATGTATGTATGTCAGTGTATATGTTTGTGTCACTGTGTGTCAGTATGTATGTCTGTGTGTGACAATGTGTATGTCTGTGTGTCGATATGTGTCACGGTATGTCTGTGTGTCAGTGTATATCTGTGTGTGTATATAAAATATTTGGGTAGTTCTATTAAGAAAAAAGGAAATACAACATAGTGAAAAATGTACACAAAATGCTGCTCATACACAGGCTCCAATTGGCAGCTCACTATTTTTCAGTAAAAAAAAGTGCTTTTCAGATAATCTTTATCCAGAAGCTTCACTTTCAGATCTCAAATAAAGCTTTCGTTTTGATGTCCCAAATTGCAATATCATAAAAAGATAAAGTGCAAAGTGTGAACCAGGGGAAAGTGGAGTATAAAAAGGAATTCTTTATTACTTACATTTAAAATAAAAACAGCAAATATAAATAGTCCTACGCGTCAGTATGTATGTCTGTGTGTGTCAGTCAGTATGTAGTATGTCTGTATGTATGTATGTCTGTGTGTGTGTGTTAGTGTGTATATCTGTTTGTCAGTATGTCTTTGTGAGTGTGTGTCAGTATGTAGTATGTCTGTCTGTATGTATGTATGTGTGTATCAGTATGTCTGTGTGTGTGTGTCAGTATGTAGTATGTCTGTCTGTGTGTGTGTATCAGTATGTCTGTGTGTGTCTGTGTGTGTGTTAGTATGTC